AGCTGAGCTTCTGAGGGGTCAGGTCAACGGAAGAGATGTGAATGAGGTCAGAGAATGAATGGGAGGGACTGAGGTAGTCACAAGTTTGAAACAAGTAGAGGAGAAAGGGGGAAGGTAAGCAAATGGAGCAATATGGAAGCCAAAGTTCCTAAGAAGAAACAACTGAAGACAGGTAAGAAAGATTGGTGAGGAGCAGCCAAAAAACTCAGGTGTTTAAGATAAGGTAAACAGTATTAGGTGCAGGGACAAATTAAAGCAAGGAAAAGAAAAGAGAAGCTAAATATATAAGAGGAACTGAAATGATGAGAACAACATAGTAGGATGGGAAAATTGAGGGGATGTGGGCAATTCAGGTGAGGGGAATGACTCCCTCTGTCACGGCAGGTATGAATGACTCAAGAGAGAAGAGCTGAGGGCGCCTGGGTGGCTCAGTCGGTTAAGCGACTGCCTTCGGCTCAGGTCATGATCCCGGGGTCCTGGGATCGAGTCCCGCGTCGGGCTCCCCGCTCTGCAGGGAGCCTGCTTCTCCCTCTCCTACTCCCCCGCTTGTGTTCCCTCTCTCGCTGTGTCTCTGTCAAATAAATAATAAAAATAAAATCTTTAAAAATAAAAAAAAATAAAAAAAAAAGAGAGAAGAGCTGATGAACAAAACAGTATGGGTGGGAGCTCAGAACTAGGAAATGAGAGCAGCTGAAAAGCAGGTAGTGAGGAAAACTAAACGACCAAGGCCAGAAGAATCAGAGGGAGGACATGAGCAGACAGCTGAGAAAAACAGCTCTAGAAAGACAAAAGCATTAGGAAGGGGAATGGATGACTGACAGACTGAGATTGTCAGAGATGCTAGAGCATCAATCAACACAGAAACATCCAGAAGAACAACAAAAATATGTAAGACACAACAAAACAATAGTCAACAAAACTCTCCTTGATCCTGCAAACATTTTCAGCTACTTCCTTCCTTCCACTCAAAGCAAACTCATAAAACAATTCTGTGTTTCGCTTTATCTCCTGTTTTTCCACATTACTGAAACTGTTTTTGTCAAGATGACCAATGGCCTCCATGTAGCCCAACCTTCCTGACTTGAGCTAGCAACATATTTGACACAGCTGACGTCTCTTAACTTCTTGTTAATACTTCATCCTCTTGTCTTCCAAGACCCCCACTCTCCCAGTTTTCCCTACTTTAGCAGTTATTCTTTTAGCATCTTTTGCAGGTGCCTCCTCCTTGTCCCTATTGCTACATGTTAATGTGCTCTAGTTAAGATTTTCCATCTTGGACACCTGGGTGGCTCAGCTGGTTAAGCGTCTGCCTTCGGCTCAGGTCATGATCCCAGGGTCCTGGGATGGAGTCCCACATTGGGCTCCCTGCTCCGCGGGAAGCCTGCTTCTCCCTCTGCCTGCCGCTCCCCCTGCTTGTGCTCGCTCTCTCTCAAATAGATAACATCTTCAAAAAAAAAAAAAAAACTCCCATCTCTCCTCTATATTCACTCCTTATGTGGGCCCATCTGGCTTTAAAATAACCGTATACATCAATGATGCCTAATTTTCTTTCTCTAGCTCGGAACTCTCCCCTGGACATACTTCTGTTTGCCTACTGGACATTTTGGGTATCTCACACACATCCCAGATTCACACGTTTAAACCAGAGCCACCCAAATGTCCTTTTCCAGAGTTTCCTCATTGTGATAAACAGCGACACTACTTTATTTGATTTTTCAAGTCAAAAAACTTGAAGTTATGTTTGATGCTTCTACTTCTCTTATACACCATTACTCAAACCATCAACTCATCTGCTGGTACTCCCTTGAAAATGCGTCCCAAATCCAAGCATTTCTCAGCATTTCTACCATTACTACCTTAATCAAAACACCAATACATCTCACCTGGATTATCACAAATCTCCTTTATTAGTCTCTACCCTTACCACCTACAAATAGTCTTCTCTCAGCTGCCAGACTGATTGCTTTAAAATACACACCATGCACTTCTCCTGCATTATTTCTTCCAAAAGATTCCTGTTTAAATGAGAACAGAACCCAAAGGCTTGCAGAACCTAGTCCTAGCCCTCTGATTAAATTTTCTACCAGGCATCTCACCATTTTGCTCCTCCTTGTGATTCCTTGAACACATCAAGCATGCACCTACTTAAGGGACTTTGCACTTAGTATTAACACTAACTGGAATGTTACTCCCAGACTGTGAACAACTCATTCCCTCTAGAATGAGTATTTAAAAGGTGACTCTGATTGCTGTGTGGAAAAGAGAACTTTGAGAATGAGGGCAGGAAAACCAGTTTGAAGACTATCAGAATAACTCAAAGGGAAGAGGAAGGTGGATTAGACTGGGAAAGGATCAGTGAAGATGGAATAAAAGGACAAGTGCTCGCTTCAGCAGCACATATACTAAAATTGGAATAAAGGGACACATTCGAGACATATTTTAGTGCAATGGATGAGCCTTACCCTGGGAGAACCACCTTCATGATCATGGTATCTCCCTTGCCAGGTAAGTATCCATGGACATACTTGAAAAGACTAACTACGGACTGCTTATCAACTGGCAACAGGGGGAGATAAAGCAATCAATCAAAGGATAACAGAGGTTTTTGGCATTAGCAAATGTGTGGATGGTGATATCATTTATTAAACTGGAGAGTATGGAGGTAGTACCAGACTTGAGACCGTGAGAGGAATAGGGGGAACAGGGAACCATGAGTTCTGTTTTGAACACGTTAAAGAGATACCCATTAAATATCCAAAGAAACAGCTGGACATATGTATCTAGAGTTTAGGAAAGAAGTTTGGGCTAAATATATAAATCAAGAATAATATGCACATAACCAGTACTTAAAGCCATGAGAATGAATGAGATCACCCAAGAAGAGTAAGGCAAAAATAGACTCAGTAAAGGAGACTAAAATACGGCCAGTGAAAAAGGAGGCCTGAGATAATGGTGCTATGGAAGCCAAGAGCAATGTTTTTTAAAAACGGAATAAGAAGCTGTATCAAATCTTCTGAGAAGTTACTGAGAATTACAAAATGACCACTTTATCTGGCAACATGAAGATTATTGGCAGCCTTATAACAGCAATTTTAGTGAGGGGGAAAAAAATCTGAACAGAGCAGGCTGGGGACAAAATGGGAAGCAATAAAACGAAGACGATGAGTACATACAACTCTTGTGAAGTGAGCTCTAAGCCTGAACGGAGGTGATCTGGAGTAAAGGGAGAGTTTTGTTTGTAGACTAGAGCTACCAAAGCATGCTGATATAAATGATCTTATGAAGAGGGAGAAACTGCTAAAACAGAAGAAGGTAACTGCAAAGCAAAACGCTTGCATTGACAAAAGGGACTGATTGGTTCTAGCCTCCAAGAACAGTTGGTTGCCTTTGGATAAAACAGAAAACAATTTACCCTTAATACAAAAGAAAAAAACAGTACCGGTACAAACGAAGGGTAGTTTGGAAGATTTGAAGATTGGAAAATGAGGTACTTTTTATCCGATTCCTAATTTTTCAATAAATTACAAGGCAAGATCATCAACTGAACAGAGCAGACTGCAGGTTTAAGGAAACAGAAGGCGTGAAATCGTCATTGCACAGAGGGCTCAATGTACTACATGATTTTACTATCTCTAAAAGAAAAGCTTATAAATATTTTCACAATTACAGTTACCTTTAGTCATATAAAAGTGGGAACACCTTAAATGACCACCAATAGGGGATCAACTGAATAAACTATACAATATAAACTCAGTGGATTAGTAATTTTAGTAATTAAAACCAGTGAAATAAAAGTGTGTGTATATATATTAACATATGTGTAGCATGTCACTAAAAATTTGATTCACACAATAGTATAAAATGTTACCGGTGTTTTGAAATATTTACATTTGAGTGTATTTATATCCACACACAAGTATGTTTTTATAAACACAGAAAAAAGCCTGAGAAATATACAACAAACTATTAAGGAGGACTGGTGGGTAACTGAGAGAAGCACATGAAACCACTATATATATAAAACAAGAAAAAACTGGGGCGCCTGGGTGGCTCAGTTGGTTAAGCGACTGCCTTCGGCTCAGGT